TATTCTGAGGATTAACAAAGAAATTTCAAAATAAAAAAGAAGTTTAACAAGTCAAATTGACAAATTGTTTCGTTGCATCTTTGTAAACGACGTAAAGAATTCGATCGTAATCAAACGGAAATGCCGGCAAATGATCGAACAGCAATACTTTAAACGAGTTCAACTTGTCAATATTCCATTTGTCTCCTACCTTTCTGTGGACAACCTCGTTAAATATGAAACAAGTTTTCTAAGGAGGCTTATATCTAATGACATTTTGACGTCTGTATCATGCTCTGGTTTTTAAACTATGAAATTCCAGTTTTCTGAGATGCTTGACGACGACTATATCTTAACATCTCACAGCTAACATGTGTTAGATAACAAACCGCCCCATCTAACAGGGATCATTTCGAGTCAAATAATTTTACATAACTTCCAATCTAACTGGAAACATTTCCAGTCAAAAATCTGATATCACAGAGAAAAACAAAACAAAATAAGATACACACGACGCGACATAAACATAAATAGATACAAGCTGTGTATACTAGGAAGGTAAATATGTCAGATAGAGCAAATTGCTCGCGTATAACTGTCATTCGATATATATTGTACATGTTATAAAGGGTATGGTCAATTGCCCGCAGAAATGTCTCAAAGCAGAAAAACATTTAATAGTTGAAAAGAATTCTCAGAACTTTTTTCAGAATGGTTTATTTACAGACCTTTCATACTATTCGTTGAAATGTTTTGGGAGTTTGCCTGTGTGCTCCTCATGTACATTGCTCTTTACAGCTTAGTAAGGTACTTTAACAGCGAGCTACCACACATATAACTTGTAAGAACGAGGGTTTCTTTCACAGCAGATATAGATTATTATCACAGGAGATGTAGGTTATTATCACAGTAGATGTAGGTTATTGTCACAACAGATGAAGGGTATTGTAACAGGAGATGTTGGTTATTTTCACAACAGATGTAGGGTATTGTAACAGGAGAAGTAGGTTATTGTCACAACAGATGTAGGGGATTGTAACAGGAGATGTTGGTTATTGTCGCAACAGATGTCGGGTCTTGTAACATGAGATTTAGGTTATTGTCACAACAGAAATAGGTTATTGTCACATAGATGTAGGTTATTGTCACAGCAGATGTAGATTATTGTCACAGCAGATGGAGGCTATTGTCAAAGGAGATGTAGGTTATTGTCACAGCAGATGTAGGGTATTGTAACATGAGATGTAGGTTATTGTCACAGCAGATTAGGGTTATTGTCACAGCAGATAAGGGTTATTGTCACAGCAGATTAAGGATATTGTCACAGCAGATGTAGGTTATTGTAACAGGAGATGGAGGCTACTGTCACAGAAGATGTTGGTAATTGTCACAGCAGATGTAGGGTATTGTAACAGGAGATGAAGGTTATTGTCACAGCAGATGTAGATTATTGTCACAGCAGATGGAGGCTATTGTCACAGGAGATGTTGGTTATTGTCACAGTATAAGTAGGGTATTGTAACAGGAGATGTAGGATATTGTCACAGCAGAAATAGTTTATTGTCACAGCATATGTAGGTTATTATTACATAAGATGCAAGTTATTGTCACAATAGATATAGGATATTGTCATAGCAGATGTAGGTTATTGTCACAGCAGATTAGGGTTATTGTCACAGCAGATAAGGGTTATTGTCACAGCAGATTAAGGATATTGTCACAGCAGATGTAGGTTATTGTCACAGGAGATGGAGGCTATTGTCACAGAAGATGTTGGTAATTGTCACAGCAGATGTAGGGTATTGTAACATGAGATGTAGGTTATTGTCACAGCAGATTAGGGTTATTGTCACAGCAGATAAGGGTTATTGTCACAGCAGATTAGGGTTATTGTCACAGCAGATAAGGGTTATTGTCACAGCAGATTAGGGTTATTGTCACAGCAGATGTAGGTTATTGTAACAGGAGATGGAGGCTACTGTCACAGAAGATGTTGGTAATTGTCACAGCAGATGTAGGGTATTGTAACAGGAGATATAGGTTATTGTCACAACAGAAATAGGTTATTGTCACATAGATGTAGGTTTTTGTCACAGCAGAAATAGGTTATTGTCACAGCAGATGGAGGCTATTGTCACAGGAGATGTTGGTTATTGTCACAGTATAAGTAGGGTATTGTAACAGGAGCTTTCTGTGGACAACCTCGTTAAATATGAAACAAGTTTTCTAAGGAGGCTTATATCTAATGACATTTTGACGTCTGTATCATGCTCTGGTTTTTAAAGTATGAAATTCCAGTTTTCTGAGATGCTTGACGACGAGTATATCTTAACATCTCACAGCTAACATGTGTTAGATAACAAACCGCCCCATCTAACAGGGATCATTTCGAGTCAAATAATTTTACATAACTTCCAATCTAACTGGAAACATTTCCAGTCAAAAATCTGATATCACAGAGAAAAACAAAACAAAATAAGATACACACGACGCGACATAAACATAAATAGATACAAGCTGTGTATACTAGGAAGGTAAATATGTCAGATAGAGCAAATTGCTCGCGTATAACTGTCATTCGATATATATTGTACATGTTATAAAGGGTATGGCCAATTGCCCGAAGAAATGTCTCAAAGCAGAAAAACATTTAATAGTTGAAAAGAATTCTCAGAACTTTTTTCAGAATGGTTTATTTACAGACCTTTCATACTATTCGTTGAAATGTTTTGGCAGTTTGCCTGTGTGCTACTCATGTACATTGCTCTTTACAGCTTAGTAAGGTACTTTAACAGCGAGCTACCACACATATAACTTGTAAGAACGAGGGTTTCTTTCACAGCAGATATAGATTATTATCACAGGAGATGTAGGTTATTATCACAGTAGATGTAGGTTATTGTCACAGCAGAAATAGCTTATTGTCACAGCATATGTAGGTTATTGTCACAGCAGATGTAGGGTATTGTAACAGGAGATGTAGGTTATTGTCACAGCAGAAATAGTTTATTGTCACAGCATATGTAGGTTATTATTACATAAGATGTAAGTTATTGTCACAATAGATATAGGTTATTGTCATAGCAGATGTAGGTTATTGTCACAGCAGATTAGGGTTATTGTCACAGCAGATAAGGGTTATTGTCACAGCAGATTAGGGTTATTGTCACAGCAGATGTAGGTTATTGTCACAGTAGATGTAGGTTATTGTCACAGCATATGTAGGTTATTGTCACAGCAGATGTAGGTTATTGTCACATCAGTGTAGGTTATTGTCACAGGATATGTTGTTTATTGTCACAGAAGATTAAGGTTATTGTCACAGCAGATGTAGGTTATTGTCACAGTATATATTGGTTATTGTCACAGAAGATTAAGGTTATTGTCACAGCAGATGAAAGTTATTGTCACAGCAGATGTAGGTTATTGTCACAGTAGATGTAGGTTATTGTCACAGTTTATGTTGGTTATTGTCACAGCAGAGGTAGGTTATTGTCACAGCAGAGGTAGGTTATTGTCACAGCAGATGAAAGTTATTGTCACAGCAGATTAAGGTTATTGTCACAGCAGATGTAGGTTATTGTCACAATAATTTATATTTGTTTTCAATAATTGTAAATATATGTGCAATATTTTATGTTTTTATTCAATAATTGTAAATATATGGGCAATAACAACAATATATGTTCAATAAAAAAATATCTGTGCAATACAGAAATATTGATGTTCATTAGAAAATATATGTGTGCAATAAAATATATACATTTGTTCGAAAAATCAATATTTATTCGAAAAAAATGTGTGCAATAAAGATATCTTTATTCGATAAATTGCATTCTTGGAAAGCATCGTTTGACCTCAACGGCAGTTTGCTGTAACGGCGTGTTTGCCTGGACGGTGGGGAAAACGAAAGTACAATCTCGATCCTAAAACGCTTCATTTGGAAACACTTCGGACAAAAGAAGTGAGATTTGTTAGGTCTGCATATGTTTGATTGAATAATGACCTCCATTTAATTCTTAAAGATCATTTTGAGTTAATAACACAGATCAATTTGTCAGATCCGATTTGTTAGTCATACTTATATTTTTATTGCACACTGCACACATGTTTTTTTATTGAATACAAATATGTTTTATTGAACATAAATTTTTCCTAACACAGCTACACGTATGAACACGTACACACATAACGCCCGCCCGTGTGATAATATAACACGTCTTTCGACGGGCGTATGAACTTGAATTATCCTGCATCATACTACTGTTTTACATGTTGCTTCTCGTAGACAAATGCTTATATTTATTTGTATTCGTACTTGCATGGATAACCTAAGTGCAATCAAATGTTGATATAAAGGGAAGTATTTTTGTAACATTTATGAGGTCATAACAACCTTTGGTTTCAGGACATATTAACCACGAATTACAAAATACATTCCTTAATTTCTATCGAATTCACTGCATGTGTACATAAACTGTATAACTCATGTTTCATAGAAAAGTAGCAAGTGCATGTTAAAAAATAGTGATAAAATCCATTAACACGATCTCAATATAATTTTACTAAACTTTCACCAAGCAAATTGAAAACCTTGACTATATTTAAAACCTGAAAGGGCTTGTTTGTTTTGCAAGGTCTTCATCATTGCTCATATAAGAAGATGTCATTTTGTGATGAAAAACAGAGATTTCAAATAACTACATTGCACTTGTCACAATTACATTTATTTTTGATAAACGGCGGTATTCTTCATATAAACACTGGATATGTAGTGATTGATTGGATCATCAAAGTTGTATCATGTTTTTGGGTGAAAGACCAGTATTTACTTCAATAACGTTAAACAATGGAACATGGACAGAAACGACAGACCACTATATCGTTGAATAGATATTACCTTGGTAAAGAAAATAAATGTAAACATGATCATTAGATCATAAGATAACTGACCAATTTGGACACATCAGATCAGTGATTATCATATCAGGAAATATTAAAGAATCATTTAATTAACTCACCGCGGAACTGCAGCAGCACAATAAGTATAAACAATGCTCCACTACAGTACCCCATCGTGACGGCCACCCTACACTACGTCTGTGTGGCTCTGTTCGGTAACTTTAAGATAGACTATCACGTGTAACATTGTTGCCTGGTAACTGGTTACATAATACGTCAGGCCTCGTTTGAAATGCTTTGTTATATTTTGTCAAATATTTATATAGAAATAGTACTTATGTGACAAACTACATGTAATTAGCATCTCCTTTTAGGATACCCTTCAGAAAAGCATTCAAATTTTGTATTTCATGTTGAGCAAATGTTATAATGTACATTCAAAATCAGCACAGGCTGTAAGATACAATCAGCATATGGAATTTATAAGTTATATACAGGTGTTTTTTACGAACTAAGGGCTTGCAAATCAAACTATTTAGAAGATAACAGAGTGGAACGTAGTAAACATGCATGATATATGAACTTACCCAGGTTAATTAATTATTTGATATTGCCGGTTGATGATCATTTGATTAATTTATAGTCAGAGGGATTAAACCGATAATATAATTTAATATATGTAAGATACAATCAGCATATGGAATTTATAATTTATATACAGGTGTTTTTTACGAATTAAGGGCTTGCAAATCAAACTATTTAGAAGCTAACAGAGTGGAACGTAGTAAACATGCATGATATATGAACTTACCCAGGTTAATTAATTATTTGATATTGCCGGTTGATGATCATTTGATTAATTTATAGTCAGAGGGATTAAACCGATAATATAATTTAATATATTTACTTCTTAGTTCGCTGAAGGAGGGGCATTTTAGAATATCATTTTACAGAAAGGGCAAAGTCTTAAATTATGAGGAACATTTCAATGTCTTCCAGTTTCTATTAAAAGATGTGTGAAGACAATCGTATTTTGCCATTTTTTTTGTTCTTTACAGGAATAGGTTTACTTAAGTAAGGTTAAAGGCAGGCATGATCAATAATATGTTGATAAACCCTTCACTTAGACGAGGTGGAGAAAAAAGTCTCACAGTCTTTTTTAAAATATCTGACAATCTCTGTTTTGCTAAAACCAAAAAATGATGTGTATTGAAGCTACCCTGTGCTTGCCAGTACTCCAATATACCAGAAGAACAGAGTTCTTGTTTAACAGAAGCCACCCAATCGTTACAATGTGGGTTCGATTCACACTCATTGTACATATTTTGATAACATGCATTTACAATACAGTTGCTAGAAGACAATAGTTTGCACCAGCAAAGAGGATATTTACCCAATTCGAAATTCGAACTCTTAAAATATTCTTACAAAAGTCTAGATGTCTTTGTTTGATAGCAGGCACTTTTTGTAAACCCCACACCTCGCAAGCATTGAATCTATCGCCCCATGAACAACGAACAAAATAAAACGTTAGCAAAGGTACATTTAAAAATATTTTGTATATTGTTCAATGTAGATTTTGCAATTAATATCTCCCGAGACTTGTACGATGCATGGGGCTTCGGCGAGGAACGCGGTTAAGCAGTAAAATCTATTCTCCGTTATTAGGTAGTATCTGCGCTCATTTTTAGAAGTCATGTCATTACAGCATGCAAATCCACTGTAGTGTTGCTGCAAAGTGGTGCTGAGAAAAGTAAATTTCCTGTGTATATCAACATTCATTTAGTAGAAACAACGGTCAGTCTAGAGAGGGTTAAATGCTCGTCCTCTTTGTAAATATTTAAATCCTGCAAGGATTTTCATTGGTTTTGGTCTTATTTTGTTTAACTTTTTTTTACACATCCATTCGCGCGCGCGCGCGCGCGTGTGTGTGTGTTTACGCGCCATGGTATGTTTGTGTATTTATCTCCTTGCGATAGCGCAGATATTGTTGATACCAACTTTATAGTACTACCTCAGAAGTACTGCGTAAAATGAGGCAATATCACAGCAGATGTAGGTAATTGTCACAGAAGTAGTTTATTGTCACAGCAGATGTAGGATATTGTCACAAGGGATGTAGGTTATTGTCACAACATATGTAGGTTATTGTCACTGGAGATGTAGGCTATTGTCATAGGAGATGTAGGTTATTGTCACAGAAGATGTAGGTTATTGTCACAGCAAAAATAGGTTAATGTCACAGCAGATGTAGGTATTGTCACAGGAGATGTAGGATATTGTCACAAGAGATGTATGCTATTGTCACAACAGATGAAGGTTATTGTCACAGGAGATGAAGGTTATTGTCACAGCAGATGTATGTTATTGTCACAGGAGATGTAGGTTATTGTACACATGAGATGTAGGTTATTGTCACAGCAGATGTAGGCTATTGTCAAAGAAGATGTAGGTTATTGTCACAGTATATGTTGATTATTGTCACAACAGATGAAGGTTATTGTCACAGGATCTGTAGGTTATTGTCACAGCAGATGTGTGTTATTGTCACAGGAGATGTAGGTTATTGTACACATGAGATGTAGGTTATTGTCACAGCAGATGTAGGCTATTGTCACAGAAGATGTAGGTTATTGTCACAGTATATGCTGATTATTGTCACAACAGATGAAGGTTATTGTCACAGGATCTGTAGGTTATTGTCACAGCAGATGTGTGTTATTGTCACAGGAGATGTCGTTTATTGTACACAAGAGATGTAGGTTATTGTCACAGCAGATGTTGGTTATTGTCACAGGAGATGTAGGTTATTGTCACATGAAATGTCGGTTATTGTCACAGCAGATATAGGTTATTGTCACATTAGATGTAGGTTATTATAACATTAGATATAAGTTATTGTCACAATAGATGTAGGTTGTTGTCACATCCGATGTAGGGTATTGTAACAGCATATGAAGTTTTTTTCTCTCACAAATTTGACATTTTACATGTAAATGTCTATCACTCACTATATCACCAGTAATGTAATATCCATTGATATTTTAAGAACGATTACATTTTTATTTATTTTTGTCTGTGTTGGTTTGTTTTGTAAATTTTGCAGATCGCACTCCCCGGGTATGGCGTGTCAAACGTTGCAATATTCAATAATTGTATATTTATGTTCGAAATTTTATATTTGTGATCAATAATTGTGAATATATGTGCAATATTTTATATTTGTATTCAATAAATGTAAATATATGTTCAATAAAAAAATATCTATGCAATACAAAAATCTTTGTGTTCATGAAAAAATATATATGTGCAATAATATATATATATTTGTTCGAAAAATAAATATTTATTCGAAAAAGAAATGTGTGCAATAAAGATATAATTATTCGATAATTTGTATTCTGGCTAAGCATCGTTTGACCTCAACGGCAACTTGCTGGAACGGCATGTTTGACTGGAAGGTGGGGAAAATGAAAGTACAATATCGATCCTAAAACGATTCATTTGTAAACAATTCGGACAAAAGAAGTGAAATTTGTTAGGTCTGCATATATTTGATTGAATAAAGATCATTTTGAGTTAATAACACAGATCAATTTGTCAGATCCAATTTGTTAGTCATACATATATTTTTTTTGCACACATATATTTTTGTATTGAATACAAATATTTTTTAATTGAACATATATATTTTTTGAACACAACTACACGTATGAACACGTACACACATATCGCCCGCCCGCGTGATAATATATTCGACGGGCGTATGGAACATGAGTTATCCTGCATCCTACAGCTGTTTAACATGGTGCTCCTTGTAGACAAATGCTTATATTTATTTGTATTCGTACTTTCAAGGATAATCAAAGTGCAATCAAATGTAAATATAAAGGGAAGTATTTTTGTAACATTTATGAGGTCATAACAACATTTGGTTCCAGGACTTATTAACCATGAAATAATAATACATTCCCTTATTTCTATCAGTTACACTGCATGTGTACATAAACTGTATAACTCATGTTTCATAGAAAAGTAGCATGTGGATGTTAAAAAGAAGTAATAAAATTCATTAACACGATCTCACTATAATTTTTCTAAACTTTCACCAAGCAAATTGAAAACCTTGACTATATCTAAAACCTGAAAGGGCTTGTTTGTTTTCGTCTTCATCATTGCTCATATAAGAAGAGGGCATTTTGTGATGAAAAACAGAGATTTCAAATAAATACATTGCACTTGTCACAAATACATTTATTTTTTGATAAACGGCGATATTCTTTATATAAACACTGGCTATGTAGTGATTTACTGGATCATCAAAGTTGTATCATATTGTTGGATGAAAGACCAGTATTTACTTCAATAATGTTAAACAATGGAACATGGACAGAAACGACAGACCACTTGAACAGATATTACCTTGGTAAAGAAAATACATGTAAACATGATCATTAGATCATAACATAACTGACCACAGAGTTGGACACATTAGATCAGTGATCATCATATCAGGAAATATTAAACAGACAACTAATTAACTCACCGCGGAACTGCAGCAGCACAATAAGTATAAACAATGCTCCACTACAGTCCCCCATCGTGACGGCCACCCTTCACTACGTCTGTGTGGCTCTGTTCGGTAACTTTAAGATAGACTATCCCGTGTAACATTATTGCCTGGTAACTGGTTACATAATACGTCAGGCCTCGTTTGAAATGCTTTGTTATATTTTGTCAAATATTTATATAGAAATAGTTCTTATGTGACAAACTAAATGTAATTAGCATCTCCTTTCCGAATACCCTTCAGAAAAGCATTCAAATTCTTTATTTTATCTTGAGCAATTTTCATAATGTACATTCAAAATCAGCACAGGCTACATGTATAAGATACAATCAGCATATGTAAATTATAATTGATATACAGGTGTTTTTTATGAACTAAAAGCTTGCAAATCAAACTAGTTAGAAGCCAACAGAGTGGAGCGTATAAAAATTGCATCATATATGAACTTACTCAGGTTAATTAATAAGTTGATATTGCCGGTTGATAATGATTTGATCAATTTTATAGACAGAGGGATTAACACGATACTATAATTTAACATATTTACTTCTTAGTTCGCTGAAGGAGGGGCATTATAGAATGAAGTCGAATTCGTCTTCTATATTATTGTTACAGAAAGGACAAAGTCTTAAATAATGAGGAAT